CACTTACAAAAAGAGACACGTTCATCGCAATTTGCAGCTACCGAATCCCATCGCTTAATTCATTTTTTATTTACCCAGGAGCCCGCACGCCAGAACCAAAGATCATACGAATTTTCACCGAGTTTTAACGATCCGCTCATCTCTGATATTCATTGTTATCATTTAAGGTTCTTGTTTTTCTGCAAATTCGCTTTCTTGTAAGAACGTCATTACCTACGTCTTAAAGTTTTTCTACCATAATCCTTGTCTTTGTCGCTTCATCATTGGAATTATCGTGCGCCTGCAATTTATCGGGTTCCTTTCCCTTTTTAATATAAAAGGGAACATGATCTATAATCTACTCATTTTATTGTCGTCATCACTTTTACTAGAGAAATAATTTCAGGAGGCTTAAGTACAGAAATTCTTTGTTCCTCGAGCTTGGCTCCTCCGTCTTTGATGAAAAACTTTTTTGGTGGCTGTGGCGATAGTAGAATTATTATCAAAAATATTAGAAAGATCGGATAAGCGAAAAATGACGAGAATTTTAATCTTTGCTAAATCCAATTTTTATTATAGATAGGAATTATCGTCATAAAGACAAAATAAATAACAAAAATAATTTATAAAACCTTTATGATTACTAACTATTAAATACACTAAAAATACCCCGGTAAAATATACTCTAACTTTTTAAGCGTTTCTGGATTTCTCATGGACTGAGAAGTAATACTTGAAAATTTCATGGTTCCGACAATTTCTTCAAATTTCCCTTCATCTAATGCTCGCTCAATCCCTGGTAAAATAGCAGACAATAACTTTTTCGCATTCTCGCTATTCTTTTGTATGTTATTGACGACCACATCAACAGTCACCACCCCAACCTCCTCTCTCCAGGAATCATAATCGGTCGACATACAAATCATCTGGTACGCAATTTCAGCCTCACGTGCTAACTTTGCTTCCGGTAACGCAGACATATTAATAACATCACATCCCCAACTACGATATAGCCTCGACTCTGCACGCGTCGAAAACTGTGGTCCTTCCATACAAATCAAAGTTTTATCCTTGTGCATTTCTACATTGACACCATCGACGTCGCTTTTATTGTTGTTGTCGCCAAAGATTGATTCACGTGCAGACCATATAATATTTGTTAGTTCCGCATTGAAGGGATCGCCAAACATTGCATGTGCCGCTATACCGTTTTCAAAAAAAGTCGATGGTCGAATCCCTTTTGTGCGGTCGATTATCTGTGAGGGAATTACGAAGTCGCGTGGTTTAATTTCTTGCTGGAGGGATCCGACTGCCGAGTAGGCGATTATCACTTTTGCACCTAGGTGTTTTAAGGCGGCAATGTTTGCACGTGATGGAATTTCTGATGGATTAAGTGTGTGCCCGACTCCGTGACGTGAAAGAAACGCAATTTTTGTTCCATTTTCACCATGTTTCATTATTTTAATTTTGCTACTTGGATACCCCCATGGCTATATTATACATAATAAAAATTAAAATTGGGATAATGGTGTTTCTCTCTCTCTCTCTCTCTCTCTATAATTCATATCAAGGAAAGTA